CAAAAGCAGCTCACAATATGAGAGCTATTTTTTTGAAAACCAGACCCTAAGTTCTCTCCATCAAGGACAGTTCCTCTGTTTCTTTTCTCGTAACAAAGGAATCTTGGAAAGCTTTGGAGTTCTTTGGAGAGAAGTGCATGATGTGTCAGTCTAAGCATGTAAATACTGAAATCAAGGCACTGTGTTAGTTTCCCCAAAGAATGATAAAAAGGAAGAAAAGAGGGCAGGATAGGGTGGAGGGAGGATGCAGAGGCTGGTGGTAAAAACAACTGAGAAGCCACATTCACTGAAGAGTTAAGATTTAGTGCCCTCTGTTTTACACCAGTGTGGGCGAAAATCACTTTTAAGGGCTCTAATGAAAGTTGAAAGTTACCTTCAGAAAGTTATGCATATTTCAATAGAAATAAAAATCATTATGCATTCTCTCTAAAGAGGATACAATCTCAAACTGTCAAAATTCTAAACTCTTCTACATATATTACATACAAATGCCTTCTATAAAGAAACCTCTTTTCATTTTTCTTCTAAATTAGCTTAGTGGTCCATGGTATTACACTACCTTGGTGTAGCCTGTGAATAATGTGACAGGTAATTTTTATACTTCTTGCCTGTACTTAAGTTTGAGTGAAGATACGGAAAACAACTTTTATGATCTAGGTGTAAAAGTAAATGTTCTGTGAGTCCTGCATACCCAAACGTGGACATCTACTATGAAATGTTTCATGATGATTATGTGTCCATCAGTAAGAAAAAAAAATAAAAATAAAAGTAAGTTTGTTGGTTTTTTTTCCAATAATATAAATGTGCAGCTATTCTTTTTCCCCAAAAAAGTGATAATGCTAATGTTGATGGAACCTACCACGTTATCACAGAGGGGATTTAAGATTTTGTGTTATCAGATGGGAATCATTCTGTAACAGGATGCACTGAGAAGGATGAATAATATGCAGATAACATGGGAAATCATCCAACTGTAATTTTAAAAAATGGATTCCTCATGAAACTCTTGACTGCAATGACACACAAATGGATGGTAACAGTCAATTAATTTCCATCTTGAAAGAAGTTCAAAATACACCTGTACCAGCTGAAGTTTGCTAGTGATGGAGCTCAAAATGCCGAACACTTCAATGAAATTGGAATTACAATGCTGAAGAAAAAATCAGATCTCTGACTGAAACCATGGAAAATCCAGTTTATATTTTCTCTACTACGCAAACATTGGGCAGCTCTTTTACTCAGCCTCTGTGATTACTTGTGCTCCAGGACTTCAGCAGTGATGCTATAAACTGTGCTATGAAAGAAGTCATCAAAATAAATTAACTTGGAACTAGGGGCTTGCACCTTTTCCCTTCAGGGGAAAAGCTCAGTACTACCCAAACTTTTAAAAAATCTTTTAAAAACTACTTTTCCCTGTCCCCAGTCATAAAAGAAAAAAGACCATCAGAATGTTGAGCCTAGCAGAGCTCCAACAAGAGGAAAATTAAACACAGAAAATTACAGAGGTGATGATTATACAAAAAGAGAAACAATGCAAATCTTAATGAAATAAGGGAGAGAAGTATGAGGAACAAGGTGAGCTCTAAGTGACAGGGCAGTGTTTTCTATTAGACAGATGTATATCATGTGTAATTTATTATTACACATATGTATATCCATTTAAAATGAGAACTGTCATGAATCCAAATAGAAACTGAGTGCACATCCCTGAGGTCAAACACCACCACACCCAGTGTTTTCAGAGTTATTCCTAATTTACAATCAGGTAACCAAGAGCTGAGATTCAGCCATGTAAGTAAGATTATTTTGTTTACAAAGTTAAAACACCACAGGTGAGGAATTTATATCTGAGACACCAAGCAGAGTTGTGATGAGCAGGCACTTGAGTCTGTTTCATGCATGTATTTTCTTTCATTATGGAGGACATGGATGTGTTATACCTGTTGCACCATTTGTGGGCTTGAAAATACACTGTTATACAAACATAATATTTTTAGGAGCACAGAAATAGTCCACACATGGGAAAAAAAAAAATCAGAATGTACTCCCTTGTTCCATGTTATTTCTGATGTACCAATGCTCATATAATCGAGTTATTTGACCAATATCCAGCTTTTATGCAGCAAAGAGGGTGACTAAGACAAGTCTTTGATTTAACAGCTTAGTTTATGTTCCTCTTCCTTGTTGCTGTAAAGCTGAGTATGTTTCTAACACCACTCTCTGCTGAGGTGAGGACTAATAGATTAATCATGGCTTTAGACTAATCATCACAGCAGAGAAACTGGATTGAAATCAACATTTGGGTATTTCTCTGGAGACTATGTAGTCACTTGGATGCACATTATTCATTACCTTGAATGGCATAAGACCTCCTGAAAGCAAAATAATCAGCAACATTAGGAAAATCTGATCAGCTTGTCACCTAATACATTACAAATCAGGATTTGACCCTCATGTGGAGGAGGAGAAGGCTCTCTTCAGCAACTGCAAGAAAATCCTTTGAAACTGGGGCAATGTGATGCTTTTTTCCCACTTGAGAAATTCTTCCAAGTTTACTTACTTTGAGACTAAAATTCTGCATGTTTTCTGCTGGTGAATAAATGAGCTGCATTTGACCCAGTGCACCTTTAGAGCAGTGGCTGAATTCTCAGAATGCACTTTTCTGGCTCCCAGACCTGACCAGGGGCATTTGCCAGGCAGATTTAACCTCCCCGAAGCTGTGGTTCACTGTATTATGTAATTCCAAGCCAGACAGTTTTACTTACTCTTCTGGCCTGAATGTTTCTTCTCACAACTTTTATTTCCCTGTATTTACTCCTCAGGTTCCTGTCAATGAAAGGGTTTTAAAACCTTCTCTCTGCGGACTGGCATCGCTCCAACTGTGCAAGAAATGCATTTCTAAAGCTGACCTGGAGAAAGAATACAAGCACAGGTCTTGGGCTTTTTATCTCTAAACCAGTTTGGTTTTTTTTTCAGCAGTGGAACAGCATCAGTTTTACCTGACACTGCATGCTGGCTGACAGGTGAGTAAAATAAACAACTGATGTATATTCCAAAGGAAGAGCAATTCCTGAGTAGGTCACAGCAGTGGAAGAGAGAGAACAGGGAACTGACCTGGCAAAATGATAACCTGAAAAAGCACATCAAAACAGTCCATTTGTGATGCTGTTTGCCCAAATCTTGTTTTGCAATGAGGCTGGCGTGCAGTTAAAAAAGCTGGATGGAAACAAACAAGGAAAAAAATCCCTCCCTGCAAACCAAAAGATTTTTATCAGCCCCTAACCTGCCTAACAGAAATTCCTACAATGTTTACTAATGTGGCTGTCAACACAGAGTAATTTGTCTGCCTTACAATATCTGTCAATAAACAGAATCCACAATAAACAATGGCAATAAACAGTAAAGGATAAACAGATTGCTTGTTTGATAGAACATAGGAGAGACAATGAGCTTATCTTCTGGAGGCCTGTCAACAACCTGTATAATAAATAACAAAGATATAGCAAATAATCCAAATTTAATCGTTCTGTGTAACTTCACTTTTAGGGAAAAATTCCATCCTCTTGCCAAGAGAAATTTACACATTTTGCCAAGCAGATTTATTTCTCACATAAAACAGATCTCATGGGGTCAAGGTCTCCTACAGTCTGAGAAGTGCAGTACATCTACTGCAGATTACACTTACCAAGTTTATTTCTAGGAAATGATTTTTTAAGAAAGACAAAAGCTGAATTTTTAACAAAGGACCAAATTTAGAGTGTCATGTTTAAGCAAATATAGAAATATTGTCTTTTATGATTTTAATTACATTGATGAGTCATCCTGAGAGACAAAAATGCACATTTGCAAGGTTAACTGAACATGAAGAATAACTTTGGATTAAAGTAGACAATAGCCAAGGGAACCTTCAGTGTTCATATTATAAATGTTGCTGGGAAATACTGTTTTGATGTACTGAACTTTGCAGATTCTTTCTCATGCTCTATAGATTGGATATACACAGATCTTATATGAAAATTATGTGGAACAGCTGCTAAGTGACAACAAAAAATTCCTCTGGACCACAAACCTTCCATAAACATTGCACTCACACATCTTCTGTCTTCAGATTTTCCTTACAGCCTTTACCTTGTGTTTAATCTGAAGTAGAAAACTTTGCCTAATAGGTGCCATGATGTTTAGAAACAGAAGTCTCCTTATTTGTATAAATTCTTGACTTAATCCATTTTAATCTACACAACAACACGGCAGCAAGGCTCCCTATTTGGCACATCCCTGCTTTGTTTTGCATATGTGGAACAGAAGCAAATTAGCTTGCAGTGTCAGGAAACATTCCAGCTCAACCCAGCCTCAGCTTTGCTCCTCAGCTTGGAAAGATGTGTACACAGGAGATGAGCACAGTGAAGAGAAGAAAGAAGAGAAATGGGGAGAATTCAGCGCATCATTACATTTGCATGAAAACACAAACCTCTTCTCTTGCCTATTGTTTCTTTGAACACCTAATGCCAGGCTTCCTGCTCCTCAGCTGACCAGCTGAGGGTGAGTTTGAGATGTCCAGCTGCAAAAAACCTACAGTAGAAAATGTGGACAAAAAACAAACCCTCCTAACAATTTATTTGTGTCCAATTCCAGCCAGAACTCCAAACAGCAGAAAATGCCTCCTCCTTCCACCTACCTTGTAGAGGATGACTAAAAAAAAAATGTGGTGTCTGGAAGACTACAATCAAGAATAGAGATCTTTACCAACAATGTTTATCCTGGAGAACCTTATTTTTCTCATGGTATGAAAATGGATATAAAGTTAATTTTGAATATTGTCACGTCCTACTGTGCAATAAAAAAACACACATCAATACCTGTTTCCTCTATGTTGAAAACAGTCTGGAAAGTTGGGTTAGATAACATGTAGCCTATGAAACTACTACAACAGGATATAATCTGAGAAAACATATTGCTATCTTCCTGCCATTTTCAGTTTGTCCATTTTTAGTCATAGCTACCTCTGATGCTTTGATGTCCTCATAGGAAAACTGCGTGGCAGGTACTCCGAGGTGGTTGATGAAATAATCTGAATCTCCCTGTATCTGCACAGAACTCACATTGGATCCTGGACATCTAGCCTTTTCCACACAGTTGAAGCTCTGGCTCTGAAAAAAAACCAAACACAAATCAAAGCTCTACTTCATTGTTTGCAGTCAGACACTTGAAGACTTGTAGCAATATCTCATTTAAACAGCATTCTGTGGGTTGAAGCATCTTTAACATGGCAGAGAATGAAGTTTTGATGAAACATGGCTGAGTTTTTCAGAGGACAAGGAAATTCTTATCTAACTGAGATGGCAGGAGAGGCAAGAGAAGAATTAAGGCATGTGGAATGTGTCATGCTGGCCAGAAGATTAGAAGGCATCATAGTGCCTTTTGGAAGATTTTGAGATCTTTAATAGCTCCTAAAAAATCAGGTTTTTATTCAGTTAATAGCATGCTCTGCCACAACAAAAAGCTGAATGAGATTATCATAATCAATCTATGAATATATCTGTGAAATGCTGGCAATGTAAAGAATTTCCCACAATTGCAAAGCAGGGCTTCAGAAAAAAACATAATTTTAAAGATATGTAATACACATTTTCTGTGTAAGTAATACACATTTTCTGTGTAAGTAATACACATTTTCTGTGTAAGTAATACACATTTTCTGTGTAGGTTTCTTAAAACAATTCTAGTCAATGAAATCTTTGTATTTCTTTCACGTAAGTATTTAATGGTGAAATCTTAGCAACAGAACTGCAATAAATATGGAAACTGAACTGCAATAAATATGGAAACTGGAAATCGAGCCCAGACTGAGTGCTACATACTTGTGCAGCTTTTAAATCTATCAGGTAATTAAACACTTAATAAACAGTAGGCGTGAAGGCTTTCAACATCTATTATAGCAAATAAGCTACTTAGGTTTCTTTTCAAGAATATTAGGAAGTTGAAGTACTGGAGATTATTTGCATTTAGCTAACAGTTTATATAGTATAACAAAACTTCCTCACCTCTACCTACAAAATTACAGGCTTTCTAAAAGAATAGCCTAAGACTGGTTCGACTTTAATATAAAAACACAGCAAATTCTGTATATTAAAGTCTACGAGGTTATCAGGAAAATGCTGGACAGAGACAAATCTTAGTATTTTCCCATTTCAAAATTAGCATAATTGTTGCTTCACAGTTTCATTTCAGTGGTATGAAGAATGCAATTGTACATAACACAGTTTAAATAAAGGCTGCAGAGTCTCACAGAACACTATTTTAAAATACCTACAATAAATAGCTTCCATTTCATAAGTGATTTTGAAATGTGGTTGTATTACTCCTTTTTTTCTAATCTGTTAAGCATTTCTGCTCCTTTCATTCTTACAAACATTCACAGTTTTTCAAGGTCTGTCCAAAAAGTTTTAACAAAACCAGCAGAAACCCAAACAACAAATTAATTGGAGAAGGTAATAATAACCTCTCTTGTATCTCCCACAGTCTCTCCCACTCAAACCCACTGCACAGAACAGAATTAAAGCCATGGTTATGATTTTGTGCATGTATCTCTGTACAAGATCCAGGAAATATAAGAATTTAAGGACCACCCAGTGTTCTGAACTGCAGCACAGATCAAACTCTCATCTCATACTGCCCACCACAGTTGGTCAAGTTTCATAAATGATGAGTAACCTGTTCTTCCTTTAATGTTCAAAGGCTCGCTGAATGATGTGAAATTGTGAAATACAGCTTTTGACACTTAATTCTGAATATCCACCAATCCCAATTTCTACCAGCCTACCAGGAGCTGAAGAGATGTCCTCCTACAGCAACCATGAAATTTAGTTTTTCTTATGCATGAAAGTTTATATATGAAATGTTTACAGCTTTGGTTAAGAGAACTATAAAATACGGTGGTTTGGGGGTTTTTAACACCACCCTTGACGGTATAGGATTAATATTTTTATGACAGCAATGTTCAATTCAATAGCACAGCATTCTAAGAGTTTAACTGCTTTATTCCACTTGCACTGTTCTGACCCACAAGCCCAACAATAAATATTTAACCCAGCACCAATATGGGAGAATGCTTTACATGCAAGATGCTGCACTCTTCCAATCTGTTTTTATTGTCATGCAGACTCCACAACACCAGCATTCTTCAACTCCTTGGTAACAACTGCAAAGTTCATATGGTGTGTTTTGCATTCATTAAACAAATGTTTCCCCAGATTAATGGACTTAAATGTTCTATAATTAATATAAATAATAAAATTAATTTAAAAAAACCTTTAAAAATATATCTAGAATAAACTATTAGCAAAGCACAACAAACTCCCTGTTGCAGAGTAGCAAAACTACATTTCTTTAGCTGGTTGGCCTTAGAGGAAAAACATAGACTGGCTTTATTTAGAGCTCTCAGCTGCTCAGGCTGGGCTCCACTGTGTCAGTCAAGCCCTTCCTTCAGGCTGGAGGCAAACCAAGCCACTGGTGAGCCAGGAACTAAGGAGGGCTTTGTGGCACTGCAAGGATTTACATGCTATCCATAACTGAATAATCTTATTTCTCTGGAGCTCCTTTTGGGTTTTAGCACCATCTTACAGGTTTATGTTACAAATTCGAGAAAATGAAGAGTACCATATGGCCAATCAACGACATTTAATTTGAGTTAATGTCCTAAAATAGTTCTGACACCTGAAATATAATCAAGTGGTATTTCTTTGCAGATCTTATTAGTTAGTTCTGGTTACTACTTTTCTTTACTTGACTCCAGCTTCACTTAAAACATTACCACCTTTTGAAAATGGATTAAGACATCTAAGGAGCTTTCACAGAGCAAGTAAAGAATGAACAGTTATTCTTACAGTTTGTCAGTAATCCCAGCTTCAGCAACAAGGAATCTTATTCTTCATGAATAATCTATTTCTGAGCTGAATCACCACCTGTGTCAGGGACTGGTGCAATTAAGGACCTGACGTATAAGAGACCATCCAGATGAAGTGAAATTGTCTAAAGAATGAGCTACAGGATTTACTTAATTTACTTAAAATTACAATTTTACTTAATTGTAAAAATGTAGAAAGCAAGAGATTAGCATCTTTATTACTGTAAATATGTAAATCAACAACAACAAGTAGTGAAGGCCAGAGAAGCAGCACAGCAAAGGACTCACAGGTCTGTGTCTCTCATCTGTAAACATCTGCCACACTCTGCAAAAAGAGGCAGAAGGCTTGATGGTTCTTAGAAAAACATTAATAGATGACTGCCAAAGGCTGTTGAAAAAAATACCCAATATGGAGTTCCTAGGAACTGCATTAATTCCATGGCAAGCATACTTCTCTGTTTTCTCCCAGCTGACTATCAGGTTTGGCTATAAACATCCTGTTCTGCTCTGTCTTTATTGATTGATTATACATATTGCTATTAAAGCAATTCAGCTCTTCACAAAATTATTAAGGACATTTAATATGATTGACCTCAAAGTGCTTTTCAAACCAGCTAAAGGTAAGCAAGGTACAGAACATTTCTGCCCAATACCATAGAGGAAAACAACTACATAAAAATTAAATGCACAGCATTTCCCCAATTTTGAGCCTTATTAAACTGAGATGATTCAAGTATATGCACAAAAATAATTCCAAATTATATTCACTCATTCTTTCTCTGTGTAAGAAAAGAAAATCTAAATGTACTGCTGATAATTAATATGCTATAGATGGAGAGTAGTTGTGGTTTAAATAGCCTGAATGTTACACACCACTAATGTGATGTATTTGCCTATTTATACAATGCAATCATTTGATTACCTGATTAAAACTACACCAAGAAATCTTATGAGGCAGAGTGACTAAACCTTGCTGCATTTAATTAATGCTATATTAAGATTAAAATAATTAATTAAAAAAATAATAAAATGCTGGTTCCTTAGTTTCTTAGCAATTTTTCCTCCTGCTTATACGTATTTTCATTTAAACATGTATGAAACCTTACTGAAAATATCTAAAATCTTAACATAATTTAATGGCCTTTAAGGGCAACATGAAGACTCTGGTGAAATTCTGTAGCACTGCAAAATCAGCCACAGAAAAGACAAATTTAAATCTCAGAAACTGCCCCTAGTTTGGGTTCCTCAGGACTACCACAGAAAAGTGAGAGATGTTCCTTGCACACACACGTATTCCATTGAGAGGAACTGGCCACCAGGGGAAAACAACTCCCTCAAGAATTGTGTTTATTGAAAGTCATCAGGGACAAGGAATTCAGCATCATCTGAATCCCTCTGATCCTCTTGGACAGGTGATTCTCAAACAGATCACTACAACCCCAGGGATCACCATCAGACTCTCCAAATTTCCCCACCACCAAAGTACTCTGTGTTTTCGTGCACAAAAACCACAACTGCAGATTCCAAGAGTAAACAGTTCTTTTAGGCTGTGCAGGAAGGTAGAACTGCATTTTCAGAAGAAAAAAACCTCCCTTTTAGATAAACCTCACAGCTTTAAAATAATTGTTCTCTCTAAAAGCCTGCAGGTGTTCTCCATGAAAGAGAAGGCCTTTTTCAGCTAGAGGGGAAGAAGAAACTGAAAATGGTAACAAACACAATATTTCAAAAGGTTAGGTCAAACCAAGATTAGCCAAGACCCAGTTATGACATTGTATTCAGATTTCTACTGAACCAAAGAAACATCAGTGACACAAGCTGCCAAAAATAAAACTACAGTTCTACCTTTCAAAATCGCATGAAGAAATTTTTGCATTTCAATGGTGACTTCCTAAAAAAATATAAATTGGAAATTACAATACCAGTGGTTATAAAAGAAAGCATGGAAAAATATCTATGCTTGGAACAAAATATTTAAATATATTGTAATATGTTGTACTCTATTTCAAACTGGAGTTATTTTTTATTTAGTTTACAACTAGAAAGCATAAGACAAACTTAATCCTGTAATTCTTGTTCAAGGCTTTTGTTTCTGTTAAGCAGTATTTGCATATTTTTAAACATTTTTCTTATTTAAAAAAAAACAAAACATGACTGTTAGTCTTTATAATAAATGGTACCTCACAGGACTAAATCACATTTTAGATGCAAAATTTACATCAAACTGGTTGGAAATACAAAAGCAAG